TCAAAAATCCTTTCAAAGGCAGTATTTTAGCCTACATTGGTGAGATTTTTCCCTATACATAGGAGTTCTTTGGGATGCTAGAAAACAAAAGTAGAAGCATGCAGCCTCTGGATCTTGCAAGCAGCTATAATGCTATCAAGTTTAGGTGCCTGAAATTCTCAAGAACACGCTGACCTTAACAATATGTTATTAAATGTATTTAAAACATTTACACTCTTAAAAATATTCTACCATTATCTGGGCAATGCGGCACAGCCCTTACACTGGAAATATGACCTGTGAATCTGAGTGCCTGACCTGGTCAGGCACGCTCATCAATTCTGAGTCTTGCAGATGGTTTAAACACGTGGACATTGAACTTTAACCTGTAAACTTAGGTCAAACAGGTCTATGGAAAAGTAATCAGCTTTTTAAAGAAAATTACTGCTTGGCTGAAAAGTGAGCCAGAGAAATAGAAAATTAAAGGCTCAAAGTCTTAACACAAAAGTCTCCTGTAGTTCTCCAGGAGTTCTCTCTCTGCTAGATAGTGCTATGAGATGATTTTAAATGGTCAGATCTTACTATTATTGCTAGGATGTATAGTATAAAAAAAATCTCTTGTTCATCTTGCCATTATCTAGTATGAAGTAGAATGAGCAGTTTGCTAAGTTATTATTTTCTGGTTTTAACCTATTTTAATTGAATGGGTGAATCATTCTCGCAGTAATACAGAAGAAAGGAGGTCAGTCTCAGTAGTTTGTTTTTGGCAGTAAAATTCGGAACACTAACTTGCTCACAGAGAGACCGAGGGAGATCAGAGCTTCTCCCTTGCTGGGGTGCTCCTTTTGCTGCGGCAGAAGAGATTCATGCAGGCAATATCGTACCATGGCATCATGTAATAATTGCAGTTCTTTGGAAGCGTTTGAGTGTGAAAGGCAAATGTTCATCTTGTAGGTATAGCGTCACAACTCTAGAAGGTATGCCTCGTAAAGGTAACGATCGTCTGTCAGTTTAACTAAATTCTCTTAAGAGCGTCCCCTTTACAAGGCATTCTCTGCATAGAGAATTTAGTTAAACTGGCTCAGTCATGTCAGAAAGTTTATGGACTTTGATCTTACCCACCCATAAATGCATGAATATCTACATAATTTATGGTTTCAAAATACTCCCTCTGGTAATAATGGGACTTTTGTTTAAACATTTAAATATTTTTGTAGCTTGGAGTATCCCACAAGCATAGAAATAAATCCCTACCCGTTTAAGAGACAGTGGGGACATCTACTCACATGCCCTGGTGGATATATCCCAATGAGGGTTTACAAGGGTTGTTTCTAAATAGTGCTGCTGCTGGATGAAAGCTGGAAGCCCCCTGTGACTTTGAGAAAGTGAGTTCTGGGCAGCAGGAGTCGAGTAACTTATCATCCAAAGTGCTGCTAGAGCTGAAAGTGTATTTGAATCATCTGAGATTGTGACGTGCATCCTATTTGCACGCTGGCCACAAGCTTTCATCTTTGAGAGCTCAGTCTCACTTGATAACGCTTACATGTATTCAGTGTGTGGAGAAATGCTCAACCATGGCTTGTTAATATAATAAACCTTGTAAAATACTTATCAGTGGATTGTGCATGCTGGAAGACAGAAGTGGTGACCTCCCAGCTAGATCAGAGGCAGGCATGTTCTTTCCCCCCTAACATGCCAAACTCGTATATCGGTCCTAGTGCGTCATGTTTTTAGTAATGCACAGTGGTTGTGCTATTCCAAGACCACATTATCACTGCAACTTCACACGTATCAGAGTTGAGGTAATAATCCCTTTGTATTCTGCCTAGCTCCTTCATGAGGAGAATAGTCAAGTCAAGTTATTTGCATACTACTGTTGTGGGGAGAACAGAGATTCATTCATCTGTGACTCTATGTAGTCTACGTACTGCTTTCAAAATCAAATCAGAAGAGGGCTAGAGCAGTATTCAGTCTTGCCCTTATATAGACTGAGATTTCAGTGCATGTGCTATACCTCGCTGGAAAGTGTGGGGGAAGAGAAGGGAGGGAAGAATCCCTACTCCTGTGGGATCAGTCTCTGGATATGCGACATGGAGAAGCCAAAATACACTTTTACTTCTAGATGTCAGGATCTTGCCAGCCAGGTGAACTTCAGCAATATGCTTATTTAAACAGTTAGGATATTTTTGAAGCATGATTTAGGCTAGCATGGCTAAGAAGATGATGTTGACAGTGATCAGCCATCAAAAAAAAAAAAAAGGGACCAAAAGTTTCCTGTGTCTCATTCATCTCACTCATATGCTCAAATGTGGGGTTAAGGCATGCTGTTTGCCAAAAATGTGGAGAGAAAACCGGATACGCTATGTAGC